TGTTCCAAACTTCAGAATGTGGGGCTTTAACACCCAACCCTGGGATCAGAGTTGCATGCTTTACCAACTGAGCCAGCCAGGTACCCCAAAGTGATTTTTTTTTAAAGGCTATTACCATGTTTCTGGGGTCATTAGCAAAGTGGAACGTGTCTACTGTGAACTGGAGAGTCTCTGGCCTGGGTCTGGGGGCTTTGAAGGCAGAAGAGGCATCAGAGAGACCATCCACGAGACAGCTTTGAAGAGAAGGAGGAGACAACGGAGTCAGGCGCTAAGGCGGTAAAGGTCATGTTACAAGGGCTCCCCCAGAGGTGGCCCAGCCCTCACCCGTGGAAGTCCACGATGGTGTGATGAGGGGAGGCGTTCTGGTCTGGTGTCAGCGTGGCCACACAGTAGTCCACAAACAGTCGCAGTGGTATGTGGCGGCCGGTGTGGACTTCGGCCTGGAGGTGGGCTAGGTCTCCCAACTGGAAAGTGGGGGACTGCTTCTCGGAGCCCCAGTCCTCTGAAAGGCACAGCGAGGGGTGAGAGACCGCCAGAGCTCTCCCTGCAGCCCCCCTCCGCCATCCCCCTGTGCTCACCCTCCATCAGGCGCAGAGAGAAAGCCAGCTTCTCCTCTGAGAGCATTGTGGTCCTGAAGGGCACCCAGGTGGGCAGGATGGCCTCGCTGCTCACGTTGCTGTGCCTACGGAGAAGAGCAGTTGCCCACACCTGTCCTGAGCTCACCCCATCTGGCTTCAGGGGAGTCTTCAGTGGGGGGTGGGGGGGAGGAGGCGTGTGTGCGCGCGCGCGCGCACACATTTCGCCTCACCAGTCTTCAGCTGTGGCCCAGCCAGGCAGCTAATCCAAGGCAGCTGAACCGACACTTGAAGTCTGAGCCTGCCCCTTGACCCTCCCAAACTCGACACCTGCGAGTGGGCCCCGCCCTCCGGCCATGACCCAGGCGGAGGCACGAAAATGGGATACACCTGAGTGAGGAGTCCGGCCCTTAGACCCAGCTGGGCTTATCGGGGCTCAGGTTTTGGGTCTGAGGCAGCCCTCCCTCCCTGCACCCCTCAGCGTTCTTGAGCTGAGATCTAGTGCAGTCCTTCAGAGAGAAATACAGCTAGGCCTCCGGTCCTTGAGAAGCCACGGAGACCGTCTGAGCCTAGACCAGGACAGGAAGGTCCTCGGAAGCAGTGGGAGTCACCCCACCGGGACTCACGGAAGAGGCTAGGTCATCTGAGAACCAGGCCTCGGGCATCTGGAAGTCCGAGCACCCCAGCCTGTGGCAGGCCCCCTGCACTGCCCACCCCCGTGGGGCCAGGCAGGCCAACATTCTCAGGTCTGTCCCAGGCAGAGACCTTCTGGAGCAAGACAGCTGTGGTCCGAGGAGGGCTTTGGCCTCTCTAGCGAGAGAGGGGGCAGCTAGCCTTCCTGCCCTTGGCTCCTCCATCTCCCCTACCCTACCCGGTCAGGCGCTGAGCTCTCTCCAGCCCGCCCCTCCACCCCTGCTGCCACAGGTCAGGACTCCCTCCATCCCATCTCAGCTGATCTCCCTGACTCCATCTGCCTCCTGTACCAGCGGCCAGAGGACCTTCCGGGTTCAGAGACCATCCTTGCCATTCAGTTAGGTTCACGGTGGCAGCAGCGGTTGGGGGGGCAGGGGGTGCCTGCTAAGGTGCCAGCCTGAGCACCTTCTCTGGATCTGTTGGGCCTTTAGAACCTATCTGTCCCCCTTCCCTTATTGAAGGGGCCCTGGGCTACAGCCTCTATTAGTGACACGCTGCCCTCCCTGGTGTGCGTGAGTGTGTGGCCCTGCCCAGAGGGTCTCACCCCCACCTGCCCCTTTATGTACCCTCCCAGGATCTTGTTCTGGGAGCTTCTACCTTGACTCCTCCCCAGGCCTATGCCATGGCTCATCTCCCCTGCCCTTGTGGTAGCAGCACGGACCTTCCTGACCTCCTCCCAGATGGAGGGGCAGGATTAAAGCCTAGGCACTCTGCACTCGACTCAGCCACATAGGACTCGCCATCGTGGCCTTGTTGTTATGAGCCTAGTTGCCCTCTCCTCATGCCTCCGTGCCCAAGTTCACAGGCACATCCTTAGGGCTAAGGCTTGAGGGGCTCCCACCACCTGCACTCGGGTACTGGGGGAAGACTTGGGCAAAGGGCAAGCAGGGATCACAGGAGCCTAGAACTTCTCACTTTACTCAGAGGCTCTCTGAACTCCAAGGCCTGGGCTGGGCAGCTGTGCCCCAGATGCATTCCGGAGGCTCAGAGGAGACTCCACGGGCTCCCCACTCCCAGCTGGGAAAGGGAGCAGGGACCACGGCTTAAGTACCTCCGCCTTATCGCAGTCATGCTGCCGGGAGGCCGACGTGCTCGCTGAGGGGCCGCGACAGGCCCCAACCCACACTGACCTGGGGTAGCGGCATTCGATGGGAACTTCCGCGCGGTTGGTCCTCAGGATGGACAGGTTTCCCACGGGGCGGGGGTTGTGGAGCAGGAAGGTGCTATACACCAGGGCATCTTCGGTCACCTGCAGCGAGGAGGGGGGGGTTGACCCTACCGGCATCACCTGCCCTAGGTTTGCCAACCCATGTGAGGGTATAGGGAGGGGCAGCCCACTGGGGATGGAGGGACCACAGGCCCTGGACCCAAAGTTCACCTACCGCTGACCCATGGGAAAGCCCGAACATGTACCACCTTGGAAACTCCGTTTTTTCAGACTTGACTCCTGACACCCCCGTAGGGGGTCTGGATCAGCTCCATGTCTGGCACTAAGCAGTGCCCAGTGACCAGGAGTGCCGGGCACGGGCTCCCGCTCAGGCTGCCACCCCCATCCCCACACACAGCTTCCTTCGGGGGGTGCTGAGGTCTGGGACCAAAAAGCTCCCTGGAAGAAGCTAGAAAGTACCAGGAACTTTAACTTGTTGCCACAGCAGTGGACACTCAAGTTGCCCGTCATCTTCGGACTTATTCTCACACCCATTTCACAGAAGGGGAAACTGTTCAGGGATTGCCCGAGGCAGGAAGAGCCAGGCAGGTGCTACTGGGGAAATCTGCACCTTCCAGTGGGCCACCTACAAGGGGACAGTGAGGCTGCCTGGCCCCTAACCGCTCAATCTTCAGGGGAGAGCCCTAGCTTGCTATTAGTGAGGGCCCCAAATGGACCAGCTGCAGAATTTGTGGGTCCCCTTGTTCAGAAGTTCAGAATTTCAGGGCGTTAAAGCAATCATGGCCCTGGGAGACAGCACAGGTCCTGGCCGTAGGTGATTGTCCGGCAAGATTGGGAGACCCTGCCCAGGAGAAAGGCGTGGCCAGATTGTGCTCACCGGCCTCACCTGGGGACCTTAAAGATCCCGATGTCTGGCTCCCACTTCTGGGGTCTGATTTAGCATAGGCAGTGGGAATCAATTTTTAAATGCTCCCCAGGTGATTCCAATGCTCAAAGATTGAGGGTTACTCAACTAGAATAATTCCTCAAATAACTCCCGCAGTTCTCTGGGCTCTCTCTCCCCTCTCCCCGGGGGAGCAAGTGCCAGAAGGTCTTGGGGCAAGCCCTGGTGGGGTGGGGGTGGGGGGGTGCACCTAAGATCAGAGTCCCAGGAGGGCTCCAGGTGCTGAGCTTGTACCCACCCTTCCCAAGCTAAGACCTGGTGGGCGGGAGCAGGGGCCGAGGACAGAGAAGATGGCTCTCAGTGGGGTACCAGGAAGTCCGTCCAGAGAATTGTGGACCAGCTAGGGATCCTGTGTCCAGTCCAGCCCTGCTTTGTTGGAAGCCCCTCCTTGTAGCCTGAATTATTCAGCTCTTCCCTTGTTTGTACCCGACTCCCGCATTAAGCTTCCCTATCCCCCACTTGGGACTGCCCTGTTTGTGCCTGTAAAATCCTCAACACAGAGGGGATTATGATGCCCTTTGCCCCCTCCCTCTTTTAGTTCGAGGCTTCAAGGCATTAAACATGAATGAGGGAGGCCAACATTAGGGTTTTTTTTTCCCCCTGTGATTGCTTCGAGCTTTACCTCTTCCCCACAAGTTCCTAGGGCTCCTGCAAATGCTGGGCCACCCGCAGGTCATGAACAGCCCCCAAATCAGCCACATCTCTCCTGGATGCTCTCCAGTGGTTCACAAATCCTCAGGAATCAGAGTGGGGGGTGCCCTATCTGGACCAAAGTTCACTGCCACCTCTGGACTCCACTGCCCCCCACCCCCCACCTGATTCCAGCCACTAGAGGCAAGAGCTTTCAACCACCCCAGCCCGGTGTCACCAATGCCCAGCTTCAGGCCTCGGCCTGCCCCCAATGAAAGGGATCTGGCCCAGCCCCACCTCTCACCGGACATCCACTCAGCATCCACCCTCCCCAGCGCCGCCCAGAAGGTCAAGTCTCACCTGCACGCTGTTGCCACACTTGTGCAGCTCGACTTCAAACCTGACCATATCATCTGAGTCCCCAGAGATCAGGGGCTCACAGTTCTCCGGACCCAGGGTGAGGTCTGCAGGCCTCACAAGCCTCCCAGTACCAAAAAGGTTTTTGCTGACATTGACCACCAGCCAGGCATGCCGACACTCTACCACTACAGAGGGGCTTGATGGCAACG